CTTCCTAAGGGCACAGGGACCCATTGGAGAGGGAGGAATGGAAATCATTTTTTGCAATATCTCTCAATCGCGTTGTGATAAATGGAAGAAATTTGGTATACACAGCTAAATTTTGATGAGCAATTTGATGGACTAATCCATTTATTTCCACAAGGTCCATTGGGGTGGGTACGGGGGGGCCCTTGGTACTTTGCGTGTGTAACTTTTTCATCTTTGACTTTTTAACAAATTGGACAGCAAATTCCGTTTTCCCGAACTGTTTTACGTTAAAAAGGTACTCTTGTTTCAAATCGTTATCTTTAACGGTTTCTGAGAAAATCGCTCTTGAATTAATCCCACTTTGGTCAATTTCATAGTAATTTAAACAAAAAATAATAATAATAATTTTCCTTTCCTCTCTTTTCCATTTAAAGGATTAATTTTTATTTAATTTAATTTTTTATTATTATTTTTTTATTAAAATTAGATTAAATTTAAACAAAAAAATTTTTTTTGTTTAAATTACTATGAAATTGACCAAAGTGGGATTAATTCAAGAGCGATTTTCTCAGAAACCGTTAAAGATAACGATTTGAAACAAGAGTACCTTTTTAACGTAAAACAGTTCGGGAAAACGGAATTTGCTGTCCAATTTGTTAAAAAGTCAAAGATGAAAAAGTTACACACGCAAAGTACCAAGGGCCCCCCCGTACCCACCCCAATGGACCTTGTGGAAATAAATGGATTAGTCCATCAAATTGCTCATCAAAATTTAGCTGTGTATACCAAATTTCATTCATTTATCACAACGCGATTGAGAGATATTGCAAAAAAATGATTTCCATTCCTCCCTCTTCAATGGCTCCCTGTGCCCTTAGGAAGCATTACCGGACCCATGTTCATATGAACTTTTTTACTTAGTTTTGATCGGCCTGTTCGGGGTTGGCAGCTAATTATGAGACACCCTGTATATGTCACGCTGAGAAATAATTTTCCCAGGTAACTTATATGACGTAACACACGAGTGCCATACAAAATTTTATCCAACACTTTCATAGAATTTCGTTTTAATAATAAGAAAAAGTAATTTAACGAAATGAATGTATTTTTAAATATTACAAAGGATACGAGTGTCAACCTAAATTGTGTCTGTAACCAAGGGTTGTCAGTAAACAAACTATTTTTTTTAATATTCTGTTGTTAGGGGTAGTTTTTTAAGGGTTAAAATAATGTAATAAATTATTTGTAAAACCATAAACTATTGCAAAGATTTCTATCTATATGTGCTATAAAAATATTCTAAGGTCAAAGAAACTATTCATTTTATATTTTTATCATTAAGGCTGGCTTTTAAGGGTTGAAACTTTATTTTAATTATAACTTAGAATATAAAACAATGTTTATTCTATATATTAAGACATGATTTTAGTCTATATTACACCTATTTCTATATTTCAGTTTTTTAGGATAATGGGTGGTTTTTATGTCTTAAAACTAAGAAGCGCATATACATACAACGTTTCATAAGTGAAATAAGCTTAATTCCAAATTTTCATAAAAATCGGATCTATCCGAAAGTATTCGGAGGTTTTACCCTATTTTCTCTTCGTTCCCTGGACTATAAAGAGCTCACAAACTTTTGTCTAAAACCATGTCCAGTTTAATTTAATGTTTTTAACTTTTTCTACCAAATTATTTCAATTTTTTAAAATTATTGATGTTTCAAGCTTATTATATTCGTCTCTGCTATTCTGAGTTGCTTCAAACATCTGCTGGTCCTCAATTACTTTTAACTTTTCATCTTTACTTGGTGGATAGTTTATTTGTGATGAAAAAATAGGAAATATACAAGGTATGCAACAATGGGTACGAAACAACAGCCGTTATTATATCTTCAGTTCTACAATCTTTCTCGAGACACATACTAAATAATATACCTATATGTTCTTTTGCAAAATGTAATTCATAAACCTTTGAAATAATTGTCCCTGTAAAATATTTGCTGATATCCGTTTTTGCCTTCAAGGAGACTCATTTGGAAAACTAAACGAAATTTCGGTCCATTTTTCGTATTTCCATTACAGATAACAGCAGAGCACGTATGTGACATCTCCCTGACAATATCAGTGATTTAGTACAAATATTTAATAAAAAGTGAATCAAAAAGTCAACCAGAAAGCTGTGAAAGCTAAATAATGTTATGTGACGGTGTGACACAGATTTCGTCTACGATTGTGGTGTGTTCGCGAATAAAACGACTTCAGTTGACGTCATGGAGGATTCCAGCCATAAGACATGATCTTATTATATAAATGGTGTTGGATGAGATCCCTTTTGGTAGTACTATCATACTGTGAATTTTACGTAGACGGCAATGTCCAAGGCTGAGGTGTTGGGGTAGAAAGAATCCTTGTTTGCCCTTGTTCTTGTTATATTTACTAGCAGATGGTGTGCTAGTTTTGTCATTAATCGTAGGTTTTCTACTAGATAGCACATTAGGCATTTTGATCTTTGTTTACAGACCATGTAATAATTTATTAAGATTATGAAAGGATGATATTGCAATTTGTTGTTTATGTATTACAATATCTTTCTGCTTAATTTCAAATCTAGTGATACTGCCTGGTTTACTCAAGAGCTTGTCACTATGAGAGAAAAATTAAATTTCTTAAGAGACGTGCATTGTCAGCGTTCAACCCCCATGTCCAGAAAAACCTTCAATTCCTATCGCAATAAGTATCGTCTTGAATTATCTAAAGCCAAAAATAAGCGATGACAACTATAAGTCTGTTTAGATATGAAAGAGAGTAATAATAAAAGCTTATTATGTATGCAAATCGTAAATAAATGTAGTACTGGTACTTATATTCAATATTTTTATATTATGTATTATCGGTATAGGATGAGGTGTACTTTTAAAAAAACTTTGTGCGATCGGACTGTACTAAATTGTAGCAGGTAGCTAAAATTTAATCCCCGACAATCCGTCTTTGTCTATGCCGCTTCAATTTCTCGGTCCATTTCTCTTATAAGTAAACAATATAAAAACAGCATTTCATGACATGAGGCTACTTTAAGCATCATAACCGGGTTAAGAGGGTTTTTAGTAATTCAAATAAAATTATTCAATATTATTTAATTAAATTTAATGAATAGACTTTTATTCCACACAAAAATATATTTATGTATTTTGAAAATTCAAATTATGGTGAGTAAATGTAGTGTTGTATAAATGTACAATAAAGAAAATAAAAAAGTAAGTATATTAAAATTCATCCTCTGAATATTCTGATGAATTATCTTCGTCTCCTAGATTGTAACGATAGGTTCCACAGTAACGTCAATTAAATTATCGAGTTCCCACATTTTCTCCTCTTCTTTTTGTACATGATGTATACATCTTTGCCAGTTATCTGCAGTTACTCGTTCCAAGGAATTTTTTAACAAAATTTTCACGTCACTTAATTTAAACGTCGTATTATTTCGCGCTACATCTCCTTTTACCTGCGCCCAGACTAATTCGATTGGGTTAAGTTCACAGTGATAAGGTGGTAACCGTAGTACCGTTATTTGGCGATTTATTGCCATTTCATCGATAACGTATTTTTTCTGATCTTTATTAAGATTGACAAGTGTCAAAAGTTCCCTTTTCACCATATTTGTTTCAAAAGAAATGTTTTTTCCGGATAACCATTGAATTATATCGGCTTTCCTCCAAGCAGTCGTAGGCGTCCGCTCGGTCTGCCGTGAATGGTAACTGGCATTATCCATGACAATTACAGACCCCGGAGGAATAAGATCCAACATCTGTGTAAAATACTCTTCGAAAACATCTGCGTTCATGTCTTCGTGATAGTCACCTGTATTTTTAGATTCAAATAAAAGTAAACCGCCATCTACAAAACCACTGGCACTACCTATATGTGTCACTATTAATCTTCGCCCTTTACCTGAAGGTGCCTTGAACCCTGTTGAAAGTCCATCCAAAAATGCTTGTCGAAAACTTTTTACATTTTTATCTTGCCATACTTTTGTTACAGTATATCCCTCGTTGACCCAAGTTTCGTCTAGATAATAAATATTCCTCCCTTAAGTAGGATCTTCGCCAACAAATAATTTCATCTTTATCGATAAGAACTGACTTCCTGTTTTGCTTTTCCCAGCAAAAATTCAACTCTCGTAAGACGACACATTATTTGCTTCTACTGATTTTTGGCAAATCGTTGTCCTCTGAAAGTTCACTTAAAATTTTGTTTAGCGTTGGTATTTCTTTTTTAAAATAAAATGAGTGTACTTTTCTGCGAATTACATTTTTGAAGAAATCATCTATAACGACTTTTGATCTCCCTCATAAAAAATATAAATGACCGCAGTTCACCTGTAAGCTATTCATTAATACTTATTTTTCTAATATTGCAGAGCGTCTTTTGAGTGAGCTCCCGCTTCTCAACAAGTTACCTTCCGAGTTTTTGACTGCCCCGAGATCACAAACGACTTTTAAATTCAGGGAGTTGTCTTTTAATGAAGGGAGAACTATTTTAAATAACTTAAAAGTTAAAAAAAGCAAGGATGTTTACGACTTGAATGTTCCAATCTTATAAACTCCTAAAAACATAATTTTTACAATATTTTACAATTTTGATGACAATAGTGTGTCCCTTATTGAGTCTTATTTATGGAACAGAACTCAGTATGTTTTTTGTAATTCTTGTTCTTCACACCTAACAAAAATAGTTCATGGAGTTCCTCAAGGTTCAGTATTGGGCCGAATGTGTTTTTTAGCTTTAGTGTAGTATTGCTTATATGTTGTATCTTTCGTGTTTTTCTTTCTTTGACTTGTGTAAACATTTTAATGTATCAAGTATCGATACCAATAACTGATTTGATTTGATTTGATTTAATAAGTTTATTTAATTATTTTTTATCTTTAAATTACCGTCACTGTATTAACAACAACAGTACCGTCTGTGATATAGAAATGGTTCACTCGGTTATCCGACTTTGAATTAATTCTGTTCCTATATCTCCCATCACAGTGAATTTACGAAATTTGTTCGCGGTTTGATTACAGCTGAATTAATTAGCAAAATACTCAGTCCCTAACTGTATATCGTCGGTTAATTATCTCTAATATCTATGATAAAAGCATGGTGATAATACGGATCGCGAGATTAGTCTCGTGAAGTTCCTCGCTGAATTAGTTGAGAATTTGTTTACATCGACCAATATTTAACTAGCGATCATGTTGTACCTTGTCATAGGTCTAATAGCGTTGCCCTTCCTGCTTTTAATACTTAGTTGGTTGAGGTACTACAGAGAATGGCAGCACATCATGGCTATACCCGGACCAAAATCCCACCCTGTCATTGGAACAATGATAGATGTCCTATTCAGTAGAGGTAAAAATATAAATAATGTTATGTAACTAATGTCACAAAGCAAATAAACAGTAGATATCTTAATAAATACGTTGAATCAGAATCAGAATATTATTATTTTCAATAATAATCTTTTCATAAACAGTACATACCTTGAAAAGATAAACAAAACAAACTGTTGATAAAAATTCTCAATGGCAGCCAGATATACAAATGACACCGTTTACATATACTGTATATACAGGGTTTAGCAATATTCTATGTCCGTGAAGGTATCACAAATATATTTTTTAGCATTTAAATAGAAAGCTTAATGAATGACAAATCGATTGTAAGAGCAAGTATTTAAAATCGAGTAACCGACAATGTAGAAGGATTGAAAATAGACGAACGACGAAATTTTAGTTTTTCTGTTTATTTATTAATTAATAATTAAAAATGTAATGATATACACCGTTGTACCAAGAAGGATTAGTAGAGGGTTATTTTTATGAACATAGTATTGCTTAAGCAAAAATCTCACAAAAGGCAGACAAAGCACAAATGATTATGCAGGGTGTTCCCTTTTTAAACGTACCAACTTTAACAGTAGATAGCGGACTTCATTTTGAAAAAAAATGTTCATGTGAAGGTCGTAAATAACCGAGATACAGCGAGTCGCAATGTTTTTTTTTAACTTTTTTGTTATATCTAAAAAACAGTAAGTATTAAAGAAACGAAATTAGGTATGTCTTGTGGCGACACAATGTTCCTTAAAAATGACCTACAAATTATTCACCGTAACCACCAGTGGCGTGGTAGACGGGTAGTCAGTGTCCCTTTTTTTAAACAGAATATTTGTTTTTCGTAATTTTATAACATTTCTCTAATCAATTTTAAACGAAACGCTGTTCTTGCAAAATTGACAAAAAATTTAAGGGTTCTCCTTTTTTAGTGCACATAAAAATACGCAACATTTTAGTCGATTTAGTATGCGATGGACTTGTTTGGTGGTCATTAGTTGTTAGTAGCTCATAAATAAATAACCGTCAGTAGCATTATCACATTGTAAGTAAAATGATGAAAGAGGTTCTGCATTATGACTTCAACGGTCACCAGACATTAGTCCCCTTGATTATTTTGCCTGGGGTCATATGAAACAGCAGGAATACTCTTCTTCAATAAATACAAGAGAGAAATCCAGCCAGCGCATTTATCAAACTCAATGTCATTATGCGTAGATACCAGTTATGTGTTGAAGAAAGGAACATCCAATTCGTATATCTACTTCAATCTTTGCTTTCTGATATTTTGTTGTTACAGACTATTTTGAATTTCCTTATATTCGTGATTAGTGACTTTGAAAACCACCGAGTAACAAGTATCAGTCATAACCTTTAAATTTTGAATGCTTTTCCGATTTTTACATCCGCATTCCGTCATCTCTTATTCAGGAATTTTCGAGTTCGCACTTCAGATTCGTAATCAGCGACCTCAGAAACCCGCGGTAACAAAGTTCAGGCAATAATATTGAATAGAGCAGTGTGTGACTTAAGAGGGCTCTATAGCAAATAGGAAACCAGCAATATATTTTTATAGATTTTATTACACAGTTTGTCTAAATATGAATTAATGCACAAATAACGGACTTTCCCTCATTTTAACGCAGATTTTCTATAAAATGGACTTAGTTTGAAACTCATATTACTTTTTGGTGTAAAGAAGTTTGTGATTTACGATACCGCTTGTTCAAAAGTATGTTGTCTACATTTATATATTTGGTGGTATAAAATACAAGGCTATGGTTTTTTACATTGTTTTGCATATTCGCTTAGGCGTGGAAAAATCTCCTCGAAGGAGTGATTGTGGATTTAATTTGCATATATTTCTTTCTAATGCTCAAAATATTATTTTTAAATGTTTTCTAAAAGTATTCACAAATTGTTTATTTTCATTATAAAACTTCCTCATTATCTCACCCTATTTTAGGGGATATTTTAGCGTTTTAGCCCTAGTAGTTTTAGGCCCTAGTAGAACCGATCTCAGATCGGTTTTTGGGGCTGTGGATTTGAATTCAGCTTCAAAAAATGTACAAGATCTGTGTACTCATGTCTCTCGTACAGAACTTCTTTTTGTTTTGAAGGAATATATTATCAGCATGAAAAGTACATTTTTACGTGAACTATCATAAGATTTTATCGTACTTCGCAAGTAATAACCGTACATTTTTTATATTGAACTTTGAGGCTAGATAACAATTGTACTTTGTAGTAGTTAAAAAAGTAAAACGTATTATTTCTAAAATGTTTGCCAAAAACACGCCACAGTTGCAAAAATTGTTATTGTGCTCAAAGTGTGGCTGAAATTACTTGTTCATGATATAATTTTAGATTTTTCACTGTTTATTTTAATATTTTGCAACCTATAAACATTTATAAATATGTAAATCGAAAAGAAAAATAATTATTTTATTTTTACAATTTAATCAGTATAATTCCAGTTGAGCAAAAATAACAGAAAGCTTTATTTGACTTCAGAAAACGATAATTTTTCAAAATTCTTCCAAATTTCAAAAATCGTAATTTTTATTTCAAAAAGTAAAGGAAATTTTTTACTTTATCAATTTTTTATATTACAGATTTCAATGATTGTTGACAGACCTGATTTTTTTCTTATATGGCTTTGACGAATTGAATAATAATAACACAGGCCAACAAGAAAAAAATTCTAGAGATCAGACACTACGTTTCCGAAGGCATTTGGCGCGCTGAATCCGAATCTGGCCTCAGAATTGATCCATCACCCTAAGTTTCCGAGATATTCTAACCTAAAAGTGCAAAAAACACGTATTTTTGCCATTTTCAAGGTTATGTAACTTGGCGAAAAAATTTTTTTCTCAAAACTGAAAATATCATTGGAAACTACTATCTTTCCCCTTCAAAACGCATTTTTTTATTTGTAAAAAGCTTTATTTTTCGCGGAGATATCGTCGATTAAAGATGATCAGTATAGCTACCTTATTAAACCATGGCTCAACCTATAACACAATATCACTAAGCGCTATGAGCCTTAGAGGGCTCGTAGCGCTTAGTGTTATTGGGTGATAGAGCTTGAACTTAACCTTCCTGACGATTAGGGCTCACAGCGCTTAGTGTTGTGGGGTTCTAGGGCTTGGGATTAACCTTCCAGACATATAGGGCTTGGGGTTAACCTTCCTGACGATGAGGGCTCGCTCTGCTTAGTGTTGTGGGGTTATAGGGCTTGGGGTTAACGTTCCTAACAATTAGGGCTAGCAGCGCTCAGTGTTATGGGGTTAGCCATGATGTAATAATATAGCCATACTGGTCATCTTAAATTGACGATATCTCCGCGAAAAACTGAGCTTTTTCTAAATAAAAAAATGCGTTTTGAAGGGGAAAGATAGTCGTTTCCAATGATGTTTTCAGTTTTGAGAAAAAAATTTTTTCGCCAAGTTAATAACCTTGAATATAGCAAAAGTACGTGTTTTTTGCACTTTTAGGTTAGAATATCTCGTGATGGATCAATTCTGAGGCCAGATTCGGATTCAACGCGCCAAATGCCTTCGGAAGCGTAGTGTCTGATCTCTGGAATTTTTTTTTTTTTAATTTTGTCGGCCTGTGTAATCGTTACTACTACAATGCTGCTGCGACAAAATGTATTTTTTTTATTTTTTTTTATTTTCAGACTTATTTCTTAGTGACAGAAATCGAGGTAAAATGTTTTACCCTATTTATAAACATTGGACACTTAACTTGTATTTTGTCGCCATAATGAGTGCGGAGGATATTGAGGTAAGTGTAAATCAAGCTGGCCATGTACATTGCATGTCAGTGTAAAACAAATAAGTTCTAGACTCTAGCTAGAGCATCATCTACGAAACAGCACATTATTTTTTTAATTTAAAAATTTTTCTTCTAAAGATACAAAATATTTTGTGTTTGTAAGTTTAAAATGTTTCGTTAATAATCCCCTTCTATGGACCGCCAATCGCCACAGATTAAATTTAATATTTTTGTACAAAGTGGTTACATTTCTCTGTAAGTTTTGAGGCATTTTCGAGATTTTTAAAAAGGTTGTTTTAAACTTGACGCCTTAGCCTTGTTGTGTAGAAACCAAAAATGAAAATAAAAAAATTGACATGGTTTTGAATGGTACTCTCCAGAAATTATGACGTCATCGACAATTGTTTTCCCGGAACATGCGCAAATTTTTTCACGATCAAAAAGATTGTATTTTTTGTGAACAACTTTTTTTACTGTCTATCCATTTAATACATATATATTGCTGTTGTCTCTCTAAGTAGCCTGTCTAAATCGGTATCTCTGTCTTCTACCGCTTACAAATTTTCATAATAGTCCAGTTGGTAGAGGCTCGGCGTGTGTCAAACCTTGATAACCCGGAAATAATTACACAGGTCTACTTTAAATGATGAGTACAATAACAGACTAATTTGCTGACAAAGTATTTTATCAGGAAAAAAAGTTATGAACAATTTAATCGTGAAACATTTTTTTTAGTAGTTTTCTTTAAATAACTCAGCGGGATGATTTTGTACGAAAAAATGCTTAGGACATGATTTTGTTCGTAATAAAAATAGCTACAAAATGGCGGTGGTCCGATTACGAAATTTGCAATAACAAAGCCGTGAGATTGAAAAAACGGTATAAAACGCCAATTATTTTAAGTGTAAAAATGTCGATTATAAACAAAAAGTGATAAAACTTTCGAAAACTATAGTTCAATATATATACAATAATGACGCTAAAGCCGAAAATGAGGAGATCAAAACTTTTTGTTCTATAAGGTGTTATACATTCATCGGCAACTGAAACTCGAAACTTTGCCAAATTTGTTCGAAGCTTTGCTGACACTTGAAATTTGGTAGACACAGTGTAAATATACAGAAATCAAAAGCAATTTGCAAAATTCAAGTATCTTCATTTTTGCAGTTTTGGTAAGGTTTTATACGTCACCGTTTTTTTAATTTTTGGACGTATATTCATGTATATTTATAAAATATTCCATTACGGTAGATTAGCCAGCATAATTACCTACAATTTAAAAATATATATATTTTCATCGTTTAGATCCTAAGCTACTTAAAATTTTGCACCTGTTAGCCGTAGTCGTACATTATTTAACATATTAACATAAAACAAATCGTACGTGTGGGGTAAACCTTTAACTTTTCATTTTCGAACGCGAGCTCCACTCTTCGGCACTTGTATACTATTAGAAATATGCAACAGTAAATTTAAACAATTGTTTACTTAAAGTTTTCGAAAGTTTTATCACTTTTTGTTTATAATTGACATTTTTACAGCAACTTAAAAAAAATGGCGTTTTAAACCGTTTTTTCAATCTCACGGCTTTGTTATTGTAAATTTCGTAATCGGGCCACCGCCATTTTGTAGCTATTTTTATTACGAACAAAATCATGTCCTAAGCATTTTTTCGTACAAAGTCATCCCGCTGAGTTATTTAAAGAAAACTACTAAAAAAAATTTTTNCATTTTGTAGCTATTTTTATTACGAACAAAATCATGTCCTAAGCATTTTTTCGTACAAAGTCATCCCGCTGAGTTATTTAAAGAAAACTACTAAAAAAAAATTTTTTCACGATTGAATTGTTAATAACTTTTTTTCCTGATAAAATACTTTGTCAGCAAATCAGCCTGTCATTATACTCATAATTTAAAGTAGACCTGTGTAGTTATTTCCGAGTTATCAAGAAAATGTCACCAACAGTAACATTTCGGCCTCTGCCGACTGGAGTATAAAGGTTAAGTACACATATAACATAAATAATGGAAATAGTCTATTGACTATGTACCTACTTTAAATAGGAACTACAACGTAACAGAAATTTTATTGTTTGATATGTTCAATTGACCCTAAAAAATGATAAAACCGCGGAGTGCTACCTTTTAAAGGGGTGCGTTTTTGAGAACGAAGTAAAAAGGTGGTATATTCAGTTTTTTGAGTTTTATTCGAAAACTATGCATTTTTTCACTATAGTTGTCATCAGAAAAATTGTAGCAAATTGAATTTCCAATCGAAATGAGACCTTCTGAAGTCAAAAAATATTTTTATTAAAAATATGCCCAAAAAACGAATAAAAAACCCGAAAAATTCATTTTTTTTTTCTTTTTGGCTTTTGGCCCATTACTTTTTTCTGAGAGGAGAGGTATAGGCATTGCTTCACAGAAAAAAAGGTAATGTTTTTTCCTTTAAAATAAGTACCTACGACTAATAGAAACCGAGATACATTGGATCAAAGTTGGCTACTTTTTGGATTTTTGGCCAATTTTTGCCCTTTTTGACGATTTTCGTCTTATAACTCTTTTTTGAATTAATTTAGGTATATGTAATAACATATTCAAATGAAAGCTGGTTTCAAGACCTTTAAAATGGTGCCTGGTAGAAGTTTGTACAATTAAAATCAACCGAGATATTCGGTATTATTTTGTCTAATAAATTTATTTTTGTGAATGTGAAAGTTAAAATAAGTTTCCAGGTGATTGGATATTATTATTTATTTATTTAAACAACAGTTAGTCATATATATCTCACAAATTTTCAGTTTCATTTAGTATATTTTCAGTATTAATATCAATTTCGTCGTCATCATTTTCATCAATGTCCTCTTCAGAAAAATCAGGCTCATAAGCATTCTCACAATTTATTCCCATACATTCTTAAATACATTTACAGTCTATTTTTTCAAGTAAATTTTTAGGTGCAGGAGATTTATTATTAAAAATGGGAACCAGCCCATTTATGGAATTTTTCCAACCCCAATCAAGGGGATTTAAAGAACAACCATTTCACTGTTGCATCTGAAAATATACTCTGAACCCATGATGTTTGAGAGCATCAGTTGTTGAAGGCAATCGAGATAAGGTAAATTTTGCACTTGTTGAATACTTTTGAAATAATTTATATCGACAAGTTTTTAGGCTGTCAAATTTTCAACTATACATTATAGTTACAATACATTCAGATGCAGCAGTGATATCCTCAACACAAGCATTTTTAAGTAAAAATACATCGAGGTAATTTTTTAAATTTGAAAAATTCTTATTTACAAAATTGAAAATTTTTTTTGTAATTGTAATTTTTTAATTAAAAGTACAAAAATAATTAAAAGAATTCGAAATTTTACAAGATAAATATATATATATTATTTATATATAATAATATTCAATCACCTAGAAACTTATTTTAACTTTCACATCCACAAAAATAAATTTATTAGACAAAATAATACCGAATATCTCGGTTGATTTTAATTGTACAAACTTCTACCAGGCACCATTTTAAAGGTCTTGAAACCAGCCTGCATTTGGATATGGTATTACATATACCTAAATTAACTCAGAAAAAAGTTATAAGACGAAAATCGTCAAAAAAGGACAAAAATTGGCCAAAAATCCAAAAAGCATCCAACTTTGATCCAACATATCTCGGTTTCTATTAGTCGTAGGTACTTCTATAAAGGCTTATTTTAAAGAAAAAAATATTAACTTTTTTTTCTGTGAAGCAATGCCTATACCTAACTCCTTTCAGAAAAAAGTTGTGGACCAAAAACCAAAAAAAACGCATTTTTTCGGGGTTGTTTTTACTCGTGTTTTGCATATTTTTGTTAAAAATAATTTTTTTGACTTCTCATTTCGATTGGAAATTCAATTTGCTACAACTTTTCTGATGACAACTATAGTGAAAAAATGCATAGCTTTCGAGTAAAACTCAAAAAACTGAAAATACCACCTTTTTACTTCGTTCTCAAAAACCCACCCCTTCAAAAGGTAGCACTCCGCGGTTTTATCATTTTTTAGGGTCAATTGAACATAACAAACAATAAAATTTCTGTTACGCTTTAGTTCCTTTGTACCCTCTTTTTTTTTTGACATAGTCAATAGCCTAAAATCTGTGAAAAGACAAAAAGTTCTGATTTTACAAGATGAGTATTCCAACCTATTTATAACTGTTATAAGTGCACTTACATCAATTTGATATTATGCAATATAGATTTTTGTTCAGTTCATAGTAAACGTAAAGACATACTACATAATTCATTCAGATATCGGGCTATAAAATAAAATTGGTTATATCTAGACTTATATCCCTTTAGCATTTGATGGCAGGTATTGTTCCGGCCATATGGCAATAAAAATATTAAATGGGGAGTAAGTAGAGTTATACCTTTTTGCTTTTTTGCCACAGATTTGGAATTTATCAATTTATTCATGCACTACTACGATATGTCATTTTTCGTATTTATTTTGAAAAGCTGTTGCGCATAACTTCTAAACGGACGAACAGCAAAAAAATCTTAACAAAAGTCGTAATTTAAAAAAAAATTCTGCTGTAAAATGTGAAACATCCTGTATAATACAAATTTCCAGTTTATAAAATCAATGATGAGACCCACACAATTTGACACGTCTTATTATTACAATTTCAGTTGGTTTTGAATAATACTAAACATAACGAGAAAAATTACATATACGGTTTCTTACGTTCTTGGTTGAGTACTGGATTATTAACAAGCTCCGGTAAGTACAGATGAATGATTTATTCGCTTTTTTAAGTTTGCGTAATATTTTAGGCAAAAAATGGCAGAGAAGGAGGAAGATTTTAACTCCAGCATTCCATTTCAGTATATTGCAGGAATTTATCCACATTTTTAATCGAGAAACTCAGAACCTGGTCAAATTGTTTGAGATGGAATGTGACAGACCTTACACGGATGTACTTAAACCAATTACAGAATTTGCACTGTATTCCATAGGAGGTAACTATATTTTTTGAAATAACTAAATATTATAGTCTGATGCGTTTGGTAAAGATGTAGGGTAATGATGCTGCCAAAATGATATTTTTTTAAAGCTTAAAAATGCGTAATCGTAAAGGAAAGGGTTAATATGAAACTCCACTTTATTCATTTAAAAAAGGCACTCTTGCTGAATATCCATAACTTGGATAATAAAAAATGACACGAAAATTTGAGAAAAACAACACTTTCTTCTGAGATATTTAAAAAAACTCAGAACAAAATTAAACTTCAACGACTTATTTTAGAAGGTAGACATTTTTGGACACATATTGATAAGATTTTTTTTAATAAAATTATTTGAAATATTTGGGAAATACCCTGTATTGCATGTAATTATTTACTTATGGCATTTTTTAATTACTTTTTTTTTATTTAATTGGTATTACTGCCACATCGAAAACAAATTTATAATGAATTAACCCAATTAATGAAAATAATCTATACAGTGCAGCAGAAAGACTCGGTTAAATAAAAAAATATTAATATATTTTAAGAAACATAAAAAGGAAATAGAAAATATGTTATAAATCCGACGTATTATTGATTATTATCGGCTTAAAAAACAAATTTTTGAGAGGATTTTCACAAGATTTTTATTTAGTTCGCAAATGATAACAATAATTTTTTGTACGTTGACCTTTGAGGCTAGATAAAAATTGTACTTTGTAGTAATTAAAAAAATAAAACGTATTAATAATGAAATGTATGCCAAAAATACATTTCAGTTGCAATAGAAACTGTTATCGTGCTCAAAATGTAATTATTCTGAAAAATTTATTAAAATTGGCTTAGGATCCATAATATTTGACTTCGAAAATAGAAATAATCCGGGCTAAATAGATCAAACACCTGCCTGTTTCAAAAATCGGGCCTAACTCAAATTTTATAGGCTTAAAATTAAGTAAAAAATACACAGAATAAAAGCTCAAATTTGTGTATTTGTAGAGGTAGAGTGTCATATTGTTTATAACAAAAAAAAAATATATGCTCTGTTTAGCTTATATCTCCGAAAATAATCGACATGAGGTATACTTATCGATTTTGTTCCTGAGTAAATTTGCTACAAGGATAGGCTTGCGAAAGTTCGCAAAATTTTTTAACATTTCAAAATTAGCAACACATTTTTTTTATATAAATAAATAATTGATAACTTTTTTGCAATCGCTGACGTTGTCGCAAGCAGTTATTCCTTCTAAAGACTATTGCAATTGTTCTATTCAGACATCAATTTGGATCTCCAATCTTATTTTATAGATATTTAAAAGAATGCGTCTTTGGCAGCATATCTTTATAACCCTGTATCATTTTTATTGAGCATTTGTGAACCCATGTCCTTAGAAAACTTCTTGCTGACATTTTCCAGTTCCCGCTACAGTTTGCCTACATGTCTTGGAATCACCGCGTACAAAACCACCACGTTATTATAATTCGAGATATGATTTTCAGAAACATCGATGGGTGTTAACTTAGGCGAAGGCAACACTTCTTACAAGAAAGCCATATATGATTTTGGTGATATTGTGATCCAAAGGGCTATACGACCTTGGTTCCACAACCAGCTCATCTATAATATGTCGAATCTAGGAAGAAAGGAAGAAACCGTAGTAAAAGAATTGCACGACTTTTCAGCAAAGGTTATAAAGGACCGCAAACAACTATTTTCGACCAGTAGCCAAATGTCGTATTCTCACAGGAAGCGTTTAGCTATGTTGGACTTACTGCTGAAAGCTAAGAATGACGGAGCTGACATAGATGACGAAGGTATTAGAGAAGAAGTAGATACATTCATATTTGCGGTATGTATATCACTAACAGTTTTAAACAACAAAGTTAGTTATTAGATCTCGTTGTTTTTAAAAGTCAAAATAGGGAGTAGTTTAATTAGATAATACTACTATTTATTAGTGCTAGTTGGAAAAATGATATAATATTATGTTAACTTTTTACGAATGCAATTTGCCATTAAAGTAATAATCTAGGAACAATTATGACGTATTAACTGACGTAATTAGTGAATTAATGATATGTGAAAAAATTATTTAATACCATCGATGTTTCGTAGGGTCACGATACGACTTCTATGGCAATATGTTTTGCTTTGATGGCACTGGCTAATGAAGAAAAGATCCAGGTACGTATTCAGAAATTTCAGAATACCCTATTCACTATTCAGAAATTTTTACGTCAGTATATAAATCAATACAGTAAAAAAGAAATACATATTTATACAGGGTGATTCAGTCATAATGTCATTAATTTTAAGAGCAGATAGAGAAAAATGAGTATAATACGATGGCGTGATTAAAAAAAATTAAATGCGTATTTAAGCAGGAAAAAAATATTTTCAAATCAATATTTAACCCCCTTTTCAGGCTGTTACTGACCGGCTGACGTCAGCCGGTTATTCACAATTTGCGCACGGCTACGATATGAACAACGCGCCCTAGATGCAACGTTGCCATATTTATATATTTTCGCTCATATAAAGACAAAAAATAAACGGTTTGCTCATGTCAGCCAATAATAATTTAAAATGCTATACATTATTTTTTATAATTATGCAATCAACACATTAAATTTTTATTGTTGCCCAGCAAGAACCTCGAGGAGGTCTGAGCATGCCTTGCCAAAAATCAGTTTTTATTAACATCATGTTAATTTTTTAATTTGCTGTAAGCGGCTTACAGCAAATGTTCAAATACATTACCGTTACCGTCTATGCATAAGTGTACACGTTGGATAGATGAGCGGCGGATGCGATGGAATAAACCAGGGTTATTACGTATTCCTTCAGCGGCATCTTCGATACGATTCCGCAACTGCTCTACATTCTCTACCTCGGTGTGATACGCGACAGATTTTCGTATAACCCCATATACAAAAGTCCATAGGATTATGAGCCCTCATCTCCCTATCCACCGATTGGGACATTGATCGTCTAAAAATCCACGGACATCGCGAGCAAAATGGGCCGGAGCTCTGTCGTGCATATACCACATATCCCGTAGCATCTGAAGGGGAAGGTTCTGAAGGTCAAACAATTCTACTAAAAATTGAAAGTAACGCGGCCCATTCAGATGTTCAGGTAGAAAATGCGGCCCAATTAAACGATCGCCATATACTCCTGCCCATACATTAACACCGAATCTCTTCTGAAATCTAAACCGACGAGTAGTGTGCGGGTTTTCATCTGACCAAATGTGACTATTATGGCTGCAAAGAAATTAGCTCTGTTTCACTTTAAATAAAATGTAATATTGTTTGAAGTAATTTAAATTTCATTTCATAACCATTTCAATTAATAAATGTATGTAGTATATATAAGTAATAGAAGATAAAAAACAATCGGACGGAGATAAATAAACAACTCGGTACGTGTTTCCGACCTAGGCTAACCTGTGTCTAGGTCAATAACCTTCTTTCTATCTGACCCACTTTTGATTTGCACGTGTACTATAGTCTAGGAGCCAGATAGGGTGCCGTGGTCAACCAGAGTGCCACGGCTGCAAACAACTTATTCGTAGTATTTTGAGCTCCTGAATCCAAAAAACTTGGTCGCAAAGCCTGAAAGTGGTCAGTTTAATTGTTATCAACAAATTAAATGTTTAAATGGCCGTAAAAAGTTTATTTTTGTAGCTAGTATTGATATTTACCTTACATGTTGATTTTTTGGATAGCACATGAAAATACATAAGAAACCAACTTGATCAAGATCAGAACAAATTTTTTCGAATTTTTTTGCGCTCACTACCCTGATTTGCCACGATTTTTCCCTATTTTTTGCCAATTACTCAAAATTTTGTGTGACGGTGGAATTGTTGCCATCTTCTAAAATTTAATATACTTAACCAATAACCTAAATGTATTGAAACTGACGGTAGCCTTAATAACTGCACATTGAAAGAAACCAACCGCTTGCAAATGACCACAATCTAATTGACTGTTTACCTCCTTAGGAAGAAATAGTGGAAGAACTAAACGACATCCTCGGTGACTCTGACAAAGCACCCACGTACAACGAACTCATGGAGATGAAATTTTTGGAAAGGTGCATTAAAGAATGCTTGAGATTGTACCCAAGCGTGCCATTCATCGGCAGGGTAGCCGGAGAAGACATCAAAACGTCCAACGGCTATACTATACCCAAAGGTTGTGAAGTCAATATATACATTTATGAGTTACACCGATCTACCCAGTACTGGGAGGACCCAGAAAAGTTCGATCCCGACAGGTTTCTGCCCGAAAATGTCGCAGCCAGACATCCCTTTGCTTACCTGCCATTCAGCGCTGGATCCAGGAATTGCATAGGTCTATAATTTTTACAGTTCATGCTATATACAGGGTGGTCCTTAAGTAATTGTACATAGAAGTTTGGTAGATTTGTGACTTTAAAATATTACGATTTGAGTCAACTTGCCTTAATAAAATATTGATAATAAGAAAGATACAGGGTGTTAAAAGTGAAATTTCAAAATTTATTTTTCGCAATAACTTGAACGTTTTTGGACATTTATACAAAACAAATTTTAACTGGGGGTTTTTTGGTATGAGAAATCATAATTTTGTATCTAATTTAATGTATCTTTTAGAGGGCGCCACATAAGCCAAATGTGTGGCATAAATGTACGCTAAACTTTTTTGCCCATCAAGGTAGCGCTCTTTTGGAAAAAAAATATTAAAGGCACGGCATTGTAAGAACAAAAATGTATACTTGTTAACAACCTTTAAACTTAACGGTTTTCGAGATAATCGAATTTTAAAAATCGGCTGCATTATTCTTCTTTAATTCATTACGAAAAATATTAACGTAGAAGTCGTATACACTTATCATGTTTTTACATCAACAGGATAAATATTAACGTAACGTAGAAGTTGACATAAAAAAATTTAAAATTTAATATATTTTTTAAATTAAATAAAAGCAGTTAAATTATAAGTTTAATAATCATAATTAGAAATGAATTTTACACATTAAGAAAAGTAAAAACTAAGCTAACTAACATTACAAGTTTAATTATGTCAAAGTAAGTGTTCGATATCTCCACCATTCTCTTCGATGCATTTATCCACACGTTCCATAAAAGATGGCCTCATATTAAATAACATGATTGGTCCAAAAGAAACTGTAGTTGCATTTATTTCTTCCCAAAGTTGGTTGCGAGTATTTATGGGACTTTTATAAAAAAGTTGTTTCATTGCGCCCCAAACGCCAAAATCGAGAGGGTTAATGTTTGGGCTACGTGCTGGCCAAGGGAAATGACTACCACGATCAAATCAGCGTTCAGGAAAGTTGGTATTTAAATATGTTCTGACTTCTCTCACATAATGAGGAGGTGTACCATCTTGTATAATCAATATATTTTGCCTGAAATTTAGTGGCAACTCTTCCAAAAGACCAATGAAGTCATTTTGTAAAAAATGTAAGTAGTTCTCACCATTCAAAGTATGTGGGAAATCGTATGGCCCAAAAAAATGGTCACCAATGATCCCACACCATACATTTATTTTGAATTCGAGTTGAAAATGTCTTTCTCTTTTAAAATGAGGATTTTCAATTTCCCAGATATGATTATTACTTAAATTAAAATACCACGGCAGCTAAATGTTGCCTCGTCCGTAAATAATATTCTATTAATAAAGGTAGGTGGGGTCAAGATTTTGCCTATTTCGGATATCACTTGCAAATTGGTATCTTAATGGTAGATCTGCTGGCAATAAAGTTTGCACAGGCATAAAATGGTAGGGGTGATATTTATCGAGGTTTAGTCTTTTTAAAACTGAAGTTTTACTGATTCTTAAAGCTGAAGATAACCTTCTTGTACTAACTTGAAGATCATCTGCAACGTGAACCAATTTCATCTTCTTGATCAGGCATAATGATTATCTCACTCTCACTTTCACCTAAATTCCTAAATAGATTTTCAAATGTTTGGTGATTAGGTTGCAGCCTGTTTGGATATCTTCTGAAATATTCCCATTTCGCAGCACTTCCGTTGAAATATTGCTGGCAGTAAATAGTAGCATTTTCTGCTATTGCTTAATTATCTGAAATATTCAATTAAAACTTTTTCAAACGCCATAGATTATGAAAACAAGAATGTTTAGCTGTTAAAATCATTCGTAATTTCCGTCTAATACGTTACTATTTCTCGTAATGAATTAAAGAATTATGCAGCCAATTTTTAAAATTCGATTATCTCGAAAACCGTTAAGTTTAGAGGTTGTTAATAAGTATACAATTTCGTTCTTGCAATGCCGTGCCTTTAATATTTTTTCCCCAAAAGATGGCTACCTTGATGGGCAAAAAAGTTTAGTGTACATTTATGCCACACATGTAGCTTATGTGGCGCCCTCTAAAAGATACATTAAATTAGATACCAAATTATGATTTCTCATACCAAAAAAACCCTCAGATAAATTTTTTTTTGTATAAATGTCCAAAAATGTTCAAGTTATTGCGAAAAATAAATTTTGAAGTTTCACTTTTAACACCCTGTATCTTTCTTATTATCAATATTTTATTAAGGAAAGTTGGCTCAAATCGTAATATTATAAACTCATAAATCTATCATACTTCTATGTACAAGGACCACCCTATATAGTTAGGCAACCAATTACACCTAAGTATTAAGATACTAGATGGGAACACTTTACAGAATCCTTGCCTCTTTATTATAGCATGAACCTATATCCCTAAAGAACTAGGATGTCTACAAACTTTGACCTGGAGTTATCCAAAGGCAATCCAAGGCAAGCTCCTAACTTAGCAACCTTGGCATGAAGAAGGGTCATAGGGATTTTATAAGAGACTCGCCATCTAGTATTTTCATTCTCAAGTCGAACTATTAGATATTTCGGAAATTGATCAATCTTAAACCTTCTCTGTATTTTCAGGTCAAAGATATGCTATCTTGGAGATAAAAGCTGCACTCTGTGGTATTTTAAGAAAATTCAAGTTAATACCCGTGGATACACCCCAGCAGATAAAGTACAAGATCGATTTGATACTAAGGCCTACTGGCCAAGTTAGAGTAAAGTTTATGCCGAGAAAATAATATTGTTTGTTTTATTTTGCGTTATCTTAAGCCTTACTAGTGCTATATACTGTTTTCTGTTTTTAATTAATGATATAAGGAAAAAATAAATTGTACGTAAAATTAAAAGAAAGGGAAATAGAGATAAACACTTTGTTTCTTTGTTTTTTTTTTGTATTATTACCCGGAGAGAAATATTTTTAATCATAGGTAGAATCTGCTTAACACTAACAGCAAAGTTACCCTACTATTGTAATAAAAATATTTTGTTAAAAGCGTCTATTAATAGTTAAAAAGTTTTTTGCTAACTTTTTATTTATTATTGCAATCCTTTTTTAAGGTATTTGGCTAATTCAAACAAATTTAAGAAAACATATTTTTTAAAAATCTCATTAAATGAAGTTCAACAATATAGTTAATGAAAAATATATAAATTAGTACAGCCAATTTTGAATTTTGCCCCCACTCTGAATAAACAATGGTCAAAGTAGTCAAAATGAGGTTTTTCTCAAATATAATTTTTCAGAGGCAAAATAGAGAAAAAGTCTTCAGATGAAAGTTGTAGGTATTAAAAAAAACTACAATTTCGTTTTTATGCATTAAAATCGATTACGAAATTGTAGTTTTTTCTCTATCTTGCCTTTGAAAAATTATATTTGAGAAAAACCTGATTTTGACTACTTTGGCCATTGTTTATTCGGAGTGGGGGCAAAATTGGCTGTACTAATTTATGTATTTTTCATTAATAGTGCACACATTGAATCTCTGGAAAAAGTGCAAAGAAAATTTTTTAAATTTGCCGCATTTAAGCTTGACGGAATATATCCTGAAAGAGGATATCCACATAATGCACTACTTGATCGTTTTCATTGTAGTGAGTTAAAAACACGTAGAATTACACATCAAATTGTCTTTTTACATAAAATACTAAACAACTTAATTGATTGCACCTGGTTACTCAACAAAATTCAAATCAAAGTTCCTAGACTCGCTTCTCCTGAAAATAATATATTTAAGTTACCCACTGTAAGAACTAACATTATGAAAGCATCTCCTTTATATCAGATGATTGTCAACTATTGCAATGTTGAGGACAGGTTAGACATATTTTCTTGCACTATTAATAAAATTAAAAAGCGGATTCTTTACTGTTATTTTACAGTTTTAATACTTTATTTTTGTTTTTACTAATTTATTGATTCGTGTTTATCTATGTATAAGTGAATGTGCGAGATATTTTAAGGTATTTATTTATGTGTAATAATTTTATATATTCTATATCTACCATAGTTTTGCTGGTCTAATATATATTTTTCTCTGTGTATATGTATGTATATTATATATTATGTCTACTATATTTTGTGGTGGTATATTACCATGTTCATTTATTATTATTAATTCTATTTATTGACATATATTTTCGAATGCGTAGTGTGTTGTATTACTACACTGACTTTGTATCCTATAACTGGGCATTTGCCTGTTGGATATGTAGTGAAATAAATAAATAAATAATAAATTAACTATCCCCCCTAACAAAATCCCGTCACCAGATTGCTGCTATCAATTTCTTCTTGAAATCGCTCTTTTTCCCGTAGAATGACTGGCCTACACCTACTTAGTATTGTATCAAATAATTAACCATTCAGAGAAACATCCTATAATTTTGCTTTCACCTTTGACAAAGTTTGATCACGTTTTTTACGATAAGAATGACTGACAGAATGACGCAACCCAAAAATATTTTAGTACTGTTTCTTAACAACCACACTGTATATTAATTAACTTCTTTTCTTGAAAAAAAAGGTATATACTTGAAGACCACCGTCAATCCTGCACTGTTTTTTGTAAGTAAAAAAAACAAAATTGTCGTCAATACAAACAACGTTCTAACTCAAATTGCGTACGACTAATAAGGTACCTTCGCTATATGTACCTGTCTTCCACTGACCAAAAAGGAACTACAGTGACGATGTTGGTGTTTATTATTTTGGCAACAGGACTGCCCTTTTTGCTGTTGGTGTGCAGTTGGATAAAAAATTATCAGTACTGGAAACATATTATGGAAATTCCTGGGCCAAAATCGTACCCTGTTATTGGAACAATGTTGGATATAATCTTTGACACAGGTACATATTTTGCTTTAATTGATTTTATAGGCGAAAATATCTTTACCAGAAATTTCGACAGCTTCATTGAAATATTCTTTTACATCTTTTTGTAAATGTAAAATCTCCTATTTACGAATGTATCTGATTTTTATACCAACACGTTAGAATTTCAAAGAAGCTTTATTTTAACGAATAAAAAATACATTACGTTTAGGTACAATAGAAATATGCCAATTTTCGCTCAAAATTTCATTAACAATTTAATCGAATAAAAAATACTATACAATCCTAATTTTCAGATAACTTATTTCATAGTGAGAGAATGAGAACTAAGACGTTCTACCCCATTTATAAGCACTGGAGTTTCAATATAGCGTTTGTAAATTTAATATGCGCAGACGATATCGAAGTAAGTTTATTTCAAACTATTTACGTTTATTTACTTTTAACATTTCAGCTGACATCATTCCCTTTATAAATTTAATTTTAATTTCAGTTGGTCCTAAGTAACACGAAACACAATCGAAAGAGTCGCATATACGACTTTTTACAAGACTGGCTCGGATCTGGACTGCTAACAAGTAGTGGCAAGTGAAAGGATTATTATTTAAAAAAATATATGATATACATGAAATAACACAGTATTACTAAAATATATTATACTGTGAAAACTTCACATTCTGACATACAGGGTGTGTTAAGTCCCTCGAATAGCTTCAAATTGTAGTTAGAATTGTTAGTTCATCTCTTTCTGTATAGATAACACTATCTTTTTTTATCCCTGGAACGTGGAAAGATCCTTAAATTTTGAGTAATTTTTGTAATATAAAGTTTTTCCCTCTATTTACTTGTTTTCGAGATATGTCGACATCAATTTGCAATGTATGATATAACAGGAAAATATATTATTTTATCTAAATCATACCGAGACAGAATATTGTTATAAAATATTGTCATAATGACTTTAATCACACCACATACTAACTAACAAACAATAAATTATAAAAAAACTAATCAACTACAGAAAAAAAATTGTAAAATGGTAAATCGTATAACTAGTACAGCTAAATGGAAAGACGCAAACTGATAAAACTGTAACTATTGGAAAACTAATAAGTGTCATCTGTCATTGTGTTGTTTTAAACAAATGACATGAGCCACCTATGACTCCATTTTTTAATAACATTTGATAAAATACGGTTCGTTTCTACCCCTTATAAGATTTACCATTGTACATTTTTTTTCTGTAATTGATCATTCGTTTTTTTTATAACTTATTGTTTGTTAGTTAGTATGTGATGTGAATAAAGCCATTATTAGAATATTTTAAAACAATATTCTGTCTCGGTGTGATTTAAATAAAATAATAGATTTTCCTGTTATATCATACATTGCATATTGAAGTCGATATATCTCGAAAACAAGTAAATATAGGGAAATACTCTATATTACAAAAATTACTCAAAATTTAACGATCTTTCAGATGGACTGCATTTCGACGTTCCAGGGATCAAAATTTTTTTTAGTATCGCCACGCCATCTATACAGATTTATTTAAACTAACAATTCTAACTACAATTTGAAGCTATTCGAGGGATCTAACAACCCGAATTTCCGAAACTAAAATAAATTTCTTCATTTCGGAGATATTAACAGCGGGAGTGTTAAATGGCACACCCTATATATCAACATTAAAATATATTTCAGGTACCACGTGGCAGACCAGAAGAAAAATCCTAACGCCAGCATTCCATTTCAGCATCCTGCAAGAGTTTGTTAATATTTTTAATAGACAAACTAAAGAGCTGGTAAAATCTTTCGAAAAAGACTGCGATAAACCTTACATCAATGTAGTGAAACCAGTCACAAATTACACCTTGTGTGCTATTGGAGGTATTTGTTCTCCTTTACATATTATAAATGCGGAAAAGGTTATGAAAATTATTAAAAATAGGGGTTCTCATTTAAAAAACTTAACTTGACCTTCAAACGACCTTGAAGGTCAAAGTCAAGGTCAAATCCAAGGTCACTATCAGATAGCCAGGGAAAAATCCTTACACTTTTGTCTGAAACATTTTTTCCCAAAATACATTCTTCGAAAGTTCTGCCGTACCGGGACTTTTGAAAGTCGACCCACATTTGACCTCGACGGTCATTGTCAAAGTCATGGTCAAGACCAAATTTGGACGTAACATTTCCTGCTCTTTCCAAATCCGCAATAAAAAATGAGGGTTCTCATTTGAAAGATCAATTTTTACCTTGAAATGGCCAGGGAAAAATCCTAAAACTTTTGTATTTATCATTTTTCAAGAAAATGCACTCCTGACGAGTTATTCAGGGGTTTCCATACTTTTGTGCCACCCTGTATATGCCTAATATGGTTCTAAAATAAAAAATAACTTCCAGAGACATCACTGAGTGTGAATTTAAGCGAAGGTCACGACTCGTACAAGGACGCCGTTCACACCTTCGGTTCCATCGCGACCAGAAGGGTTATAAAACCCTGGTTCCACAACCGCTTGTTCTTTAACCTGACGCCAATGGCACTAGGACATAGGAGGGCAGTGGAAGTATTGCACGAGTTTTCAACCAGGATTGTGCAGGAACGCAAAAAGTTATTTTTGGAGACCGCAGATTTGTCGAATACCGAGAGGAAACGTCTGGTTATGTTAGACCAATTGCTGAAGGCTAAGCACGATGGTGCGGATATAGACGACGATGGTATTAGGGAGGAAGTCGATACATTCATATTTGAGGTAACGATTGACAGTATGATTCTTGATAAATAAGTAGCATTTATAGGATGCTTGAAGATAATTACCAAAAACTTAATTTTAACTACCTATGAACTGAAAAAAAATATCCACCTGGTCCAAATTATTCACAACATACCTACATACACTAGTGTGGTAAGGTCACTGAACTTGATTGCTTAAACGCTTAATATATGTAAATATTGCAATTGATACTGCGCATAAAAAAGAGATATGCCAAGAATCGGCGATCGACTATCGATACCTTTGCCAGTCCATTAGTAAGTACTAGGTCAATGTTTCCGCCCTCATTTTCTTTTTCTTTCATTTCCATGGCCATGCTCAACGCCTGTTGCATTTCAACCCTTAATCTTAAACAGACCAAATTTGGAGTTTAAAGGATAACTTAAATTTCTCTTAAATCTGTTAGCTATTTTTAAAAATTATTTCAAAGAGTATTGACTCGAAAATTGAAAAACGGTTTGAAGGGATAAATGTGCATATTTTGGGGTAATCAGAATATTTCTAATTGTTCCAGTGTCGCATTTTTTTATGTCATCATCCCCTATTTTGGGGATGGAAATGAAGGGTAAATTGGTGAAATAAGTGAAAATCGATTTTCTTCGTTCAAAAATCTTATATCTTCTATAGATTCAGTGAAATTAAGACACATTTTGGTGGAATCTATGCTCAATTGAAACAAGTTAAGGAAAAATTAATGAAAATATTTTCATTCCTATTTTAGGGGTGGAAGTGAGGGGTGAGGGTGTGGAAAAATGAAAACTAAAGAAAATATGCATAAAAGGTTTTTGTCGCTGAACACGAATAAAAGCATCACTAAAACAAAAAACTCCTTTTCAGGAGTTGTTTCTATCATCCTCTGATTTAGGGGAAGAACTGAGGGATGGGGGATTGAATAATAAAATTCATCTGAAATATTACCAGAGTCTTTTAATTCTCTGATCTTTTTCTTACATTTTTCACCTATTCACCCTTCATTTCCACCCTCAAAATAGGGGATGGACATTCGCAATAATTTTCCCTAAATCTGCATCAAATAAGCTTCAATTTAAAAAAAATGTAAAACGATTCGTTAATTCTTCTTCGAGATATTTGATTTTTGAAAAATGCCTTTTGACCGATAGTGTGGCGTTTGTGAGAGAATGCCACAACTTTTTAATGAAAAAAAATGGTACGCCACTGACTTCTTCCAGTTTTGATATATTTTTTTTAAATCCGCCATCAATTCTGAATAATATTGGTCTCTTCAATTTTTTTCGTAGGATGCACCGTTTTTGGGAAAAAGGAAAAAAATAACATATTTTATTGCAAGTGGTGTATTTTTAATTTCTACTGATACGTTATCTAGTAGGTTGCTGTCAATGTTTCTAAATAAAATACAACCATCGAATTTCGAGTAAACATCTTTAAAACTCTGAAATAATTAATAAAAAGAAATTAAAATTTAAACATTCTGTATCTCGGAAATGATAATGAAGCATATTTCGATCTACGTTTATATGAACTTTTATTCACAAAATAACTTCCACAACCACCCCCTAAAATATTTTGCACTTATATACAAAAACACCATGTATAGAAATCGATACTGGTCGATATAAATGTGTGTTCTAAAATATCCAACAATATTTCCCACAATTTTAGCTTTTCTATGTAATTAAACATTAATAAATTATTAATATTGGATTTTAATTATTATATTTTTTAACAATTAACAATTTTTTCACAATTATTTTTTATTATATTTTTATTTATAATTTAATGCTTTTTTAGCAAGCGTGAAAAACGCTTTAACAAGCTTTAAATAATTATTTATTGTACAAAAAACTGATAATATACAATTTTAATTGTGATAAAACTAACAAATTGGAAAACAATATTCAATATTTTTTTCAGTACTTAGTATAAAATAAATTGTTATTATTTGTGTTGCGGAGTAAAATCCACATAAAAAGTTCAAACGAACTAAGTAGTGATTAATTCTAGCTCCCTACGAAATTAGCTTGAAGTAACCCGTTAACTTTTTTGTATTATTTTAAAATCTTGATCAGTTGAAGTAGCACTTAACAGTACCAAATTTGTTACATTAAAACCATTTCTTTACTGGTTCTTGTGGCGCAGATGTTTGCTTACTACAACTAAGACGAAACTCATCCTGTCCAGATGCTCATTGCGCAGATCAAAAAGAGAGTCCGGTTTAGGAGCGACAAAGACGGAACACCTTAATAGTAGGGCAGTAGGTGCAGACAGAGTGATTCTGAATAAATTTTGTTAATATAATCTCCTAAAAAGAAGCCTAGTGTTTCCATTGATGCAATTTATTTCCGATTCTTAACTGGTCCTGTCTTTGAGTAGGATGACCGAATTCGTGCTTTTAAATTTAATCTAATGATCTCATTTTTTTTTTATTGTAAGATACATATACGTTGTTAAGATGAAATGATTTAACTTATGTATTTCAGGGTCATGATACAGCAGCGATGGCAATAAGCTTTACTTTAATGGCGTTGGCTAATGAGGAAAAAATTCAGGTATGTTGCCAGAATTATTTAATTTCTTAACACTAGTGGTATGTTTCAGTCAGCTGCTCAAATTTACTGAAATTTAAATTTCAAAGTTCCAGTTTTTTTACAGTTCAATTGTTTGATCAGTTTTAATAATGCCAAGTGCCTTAAATAATCATACAAATTACAATTTGAGTTAAATTTCTGTAGAAAAGTAGAGTTTTCTTTCCATGTATTCCATACACTTCTAAAGATTCGATTTTTTCTCGAAAACAGATACATTTCCAATATGAAAAACATAATTTGCAAATTATTATTATTAGTTCCTCGCATATTACAAAACTCTGAAATAGAGTAAGAAATGTTTACTCTTTTACATTTACGACTATTATTATCAGTGAGTTATAAGTTACAAAAAGAAACCAGCTTTTTGTGAGGTAACAAAGTATGCAATAATTTTTCTAATATTGACATAGAAAATTTTTATGAAACAATATGATACTTTATTGACTACATAAACTTGTGTATTTCATTTAAGTAAAAAATAGTTATCTTTAAAAAATTAACAAGATGGCAGAATGTGTTCAATAGATAGATGTTCTTTCCATTACACAGACCCATAAAAAAAAGTGGGAGGTCCCAAAGACAAGACAATGGTATCCGTATGTTTTTTTGGGGTCGCTGAGATCTATACGTTTTTGGGGTCGTTGATCAGATCTGGGTTAAGGTCAGTTCAAAGTCAAATGTAGAAAATCAATTGACAAAAAAGTAAACCAATATATCTATATTCGGATCGCTGCATCCGAATGCGATGTCAGTTTAACCCGATTGCGTCTGGGTTAAGGTCAGTTCAAAGTCAAATGTAGAGAATCAATTGTTAACAAAGTAAACACACATATCTATACGTTTTTTGGGGTTGCTGAATCCGAATCCGAGTCAATTAAATAAATAAATTTAACGTTTCTTCAACGTTTAGCTGAAAATTCGTGTAATTAAAAACGCTATTTTTCAACTCGTACCAATCCTATGTTACTTCAATCTTCCTTGTCTCATTAGATATATGTCAATAAATAATATTTTAATTTAATTGCTTGTTCCTACATTATTTTCTTATGTTAGGAACAAATATTACAAGAAATCGAGGAAGTCCTTGGGGAATCCGATAGATTGCCTACGTACGAAGACCTTGTGGAGATGAAATTCATGGAGAGGTGCATTAAGGAATGTCTTAGGTTGTACCCCAGCGTACCGCTAATTGCCAGGGTGGCTGGTGAAGACATCAAGACACGTAGCGGCTATACCATACCGAAGGGCTGCGACATTAACATATACATTTACGATTTGCACCGGTCGCCACAGTATTGGGAAAATCCGGACAAATTCGATCCGGATAGGTTTCTGCCTGAAAATGTATCAAAGCGACACCCATTCGCTTACTTGCCCTTTAGCGCCGGATTCAGAAACTGCATAGGTCAGCCACTAAGTTTATAAATACAGGGCGTTTCCTAAATACGGTCCGTAACTTCAGGACACAATTTCTTGTGATATTTAAAGAAAAAAAAATTACTTCCTACAAATATGTGGCCGGTAACGCTTGGATTCCGAGATACAGGAGTTGAAAAAGAGTTAAAAAATATATTAATATTTGTCAATTTTTATCTGCCGCCAGTGGCGTAGTTAGGTGCGAGTCGGTCGACGTATTCGTAATAAAATGTAAGACGCCAATGGAATTTTTACATTTTGTTTGTTTGTTTTGTTTTTCTAAGAATAGATTAGTATTAGGCAAAAAATTCAAGACTCCTTTTTTGTTATAAGTCCAAAAATATTTTAAAAAATTTAAAATCCATTGGCGTTCTACATTTTATGACGAAAACGTCGACTCACTCACATCTAACTAAGCCACTCGAGGCAGATAATAATTGACCATACTAAAAATGTAGCTAGCGCTTCTGTCTATATGTTTATAGGAACTTTTTTTTCTTTAAATAACATAAGAAATTGTGTTACAGACCGTAGTTAGGAAACAGCCTATATAGCACGGTACGTTATAGACAGATCAGTAAGGACAGCGTGACAATTTTCGAATGAAATTCGCCAGAAAATAGCGTCAGTTTTTAATAAAATATTTGTTTTCATTTTGACATTGCGAACAAAAATCTTTATTGTTAAAATGTTGTTCAACAATGAAAATGCATTGTTCTATCGTGTAATGCTACATTTTTAATAACCCTGAACTGCCAGCTGTCACGCTGTCTTTTTTTATCGTTGGCAACATTTTACCGCACAAATGGCGCGACCTTTCATGAATTTTTGAACACCCTAACTAGGTTTTTTAAGTGCTGATTGAAATTAATGAAATTGTATGAATTTTAGGGCAACGATACGCCCTATTGGAAATAAAGGCTTTATTATGTGGAATATTAAGGAAATTTAAGCTGAAACCGATAGACACCCCACAAGGGATGAAATACAAATCAGACTTGGTGCTACGACCCCTTGATGGGATTAGAGTGGAATTTGAACTGAGAAAATGAACAATGTAGTATGTAGTAGTTACTTTTCACTTACTGATGTATCTTTAGTAATAATACTATTTGTAGTAAACATTTAAACGAATTTAGAAACAAGTTTTCTTCTCCCTTTGCCTCCCTTACACCTATGCGATCTTCTGGTCTATACTTGCGGCTCACACCTAAAATATTTGGAGATATTGATTGTTATTACACATCTACACTTTGATCGCAATAAAATAAACGTAACGATAATTCACAAGATTACTTGTAACCTTTGTATCTTGTGCAACTGTACTATCTGGAGAATTGTTTACTCATTTAGAAATGCAATATCCAAATCGACAAGATTCCAGTTATCGGAGAAGGTACAACAGAAAATCAAAAGGCAAAATAAATTTTAAAAACTAACATTAAGTGCAAAGACAAATAAGTATAGTATTTCCAAAGGTTAGTGGAGCATACAACGATTGGCACACGAACTTGTCCAGAGCCATGGGCTTACACCAATAGATTTAAAAAAAGTTTAAATCTTTGCGATGTTTTTTGCCACATATACAGGCCGATTCAAAATTCAGTACAAAGAATTTAGAGGCGTATTTTTGAGGTCAAGATATGACTTTTTTTCCTTATAAACGTGGGTAAACAAATGCTTAGTTTTTGATATACAGTGTAGGAAAGTACCGATGGTCTATCAGAAGTTACGTGAGAGCGATAAAGTAAGCCATAGAAATCCATGCGATAAACAAGGATGGCTATAATGAAAGCGTCTAATAGTCAACGCCCATTTCGCCCTTCCTCAAATAAGAAGTGGATCTTATCTGTGGAAGGGCGAAACGGGCAGTGTCTATGAGACGCCTTCATTATAGCCATCCTTCTCTATCGCATGGATTTCTATGGCTTACTTTATCGCTCTCACGTAACTTCAGATACAGTGTAGGAAAGTACCGATGGTCTATCAGAAGTTACGTGAGAGCGATAAAGTAAGCCATAGAAATCCATGTGATAGACAAGGATGGCCATAATGAAGGCGTCTAATAGTCAACGCCCATTTCGCCCTTCCACAAATAAGAAGTGGATCTTATTTGTGGAAGGGCGAAACGGGCAGTGCATATAAAAGGAGGCGTAAGTGATTTCTATTTATTTTTAATTACCGTAAAAATAAGCTCTATGTAATGCTAAAGAGCGAATTCCCGAGCGGCTTTTGCCTGACCCTGGTACAATTTGTTTATAACACTGTTTTGAACGTCCTTCTTTGTTAGTTGTAAAGGGCAATGTAATTTCAATTTTATTTTTATAAATATAACTTATTGATTTGTATTTTTCACCGTCCCCTTAAATTTTTAAAAGATACATATTCTTCAATAAAGCAAAAAAATGAAATGTGATAAAAAAAATAATATTTAAAGTACGTACTTAGAAGCAGAATTTATTTGGATATTTTTAATTTATCAATATTTAATGTTTAATTTGAGACGAATTTACGTTAACTTCTACTGCTGCTAATGCGTTTATTACATGAACTATCAGTGTAAAAATTTTTTTAAATTAAAGTTTAACCCTTTCTTTGTCTCTAAAATCCCGTTCCGATATGTCCAATAGTTAATTAAAATTAACTTTATAAAAAAAGTTATATCGGGAAAAGGAGGCGTAAGTGATTTCTATTTATTTTTAATTACCGTAAAAATAAGCTCTATGTAATGCAAAAGAGCGAATTCCCGAGCGGCTTTTGCCTGACCCTGGTACAATTTGTTTATAACACTGTTTTGAACGTCCTTCTTTGTTAGTTGTAAAGGGCAATGTAATTTCAACGTTTCGAAATTTTTCTTTTGCGATACGTTTCTATGGATCAATTAGAACCTATATCTACGATATTAACTTCTAAAATTAACTTTGGTAATTAAACAATTAGTTGTAAAAAAAGTCCCCGTCATGAAGTACTTATTGTACTTGTCTACTAATAATTTTTTCACGTTCAAACTCTAATTCGACTCGAGTAATAAGCACATACTGCCAATTGACTTTGGAAGCCTTATACCTACTAGAAACATAAATAGAAACCAAAATATAAAAACGAGGCGAAGAAGAAATTACATACAAAATATTAACAAAAAAATAAGGCGTTCCAATTTTTAAAAACTTGATTTATATTATTTGCGTCAATTGAAGTTGTTGGGATCATAACAACGCTAGAGTTATCAGCAAACCGGACCTGCAATGGCAAGAACATTATCTATAAATAAAATACCACTGACTGCAAAGCGTAGTAGACTGACTCAATTCGTACGGCTAGATCAGACTCCTCTGTGAAATATTACAAAAGTTACAATGTGGGAATATATAGTTTTGATAGTAGCCATACCTTATTTACTGTATATATTTAGTTGGTTAAAGAACTACCAATACTGGAAACATATTATGGCAATACCTGGACCAAAATCTTATCCTATGGTGGGTACAATGATGCAACTGATATTTGACGAAGGTAAACATTTACATACTTCATTTATAAGTGATACAAAAACAATTCGATAAAGTACGTATATACAATATCGTTTTCATATATGTTTGCGCAGATAAATATTATTAACTTTCAAATAATTATGTGCATTATATACGTCTTTATAAATGTTTTTCTTTCATCACAACATAACTGATAACTTAGATAACGAATGCAAGTGCCGTAAAGCCAGACAATTCGGGTATATTCAAATACTACACAGTTTATTGTCTAAAATTCTCCACTTTTTTATACATTTTAAACTTGTCATCCTCCATTGCAATCTTGTAATGTAGAATTTGTACTTTGCATGTTTTACATAAGCGGAATTACCAGTATATTATCAATCCAATTATAATGTTTTTAAATATGTGAACAAAATAGTTTAAAATTATACAATAGTTGCATTTAACGTTTTACACTTCCGTTATGTTAAAAAAAAGATATAATTGTCAAAAAAAAGTTTATTTATAATTGTTTAGAACAAACCAAACCTGCCAAAAATATTTAGAACACTTTTGTATGTCGTACTAAAAAATATTAAACAGTGTCCCGCCTTCTAATTATTATAACAGAGCAAAAATGTTATAAAATATTAAATAATGCATTCGTTCCTGTGACTTCTCTCATAATTTTAATTTCAGATGGCTTATTTTACAGTGAGAGAAAGCGGTCTAGGGCGTTCTACCCGATTTATAAACGATGGAGTTTCACTTTGTCACTAGTCTGTTTAATAAGTGCGGAGGATATCGAAGTAAGTTTATTAATATTACCGTAGACTAGATTTCTACATCGATCATTCAAATTTTATATTAGTGATACATATTTTGTCTTTAAATATTACAGAATCGTACTCGGATCATTCTCCCAATTTTCATTGCAGTTGTTTACTAGACATTGTCCAGTCGTTCCAAGTTATTATTTTATATCTCTGCATAACTATAACCAAAACTAAATAAGTGTCTAAGTGTCTTTTGTAATGTTTAAGAACTGATTATAAATTCTTCTACGAAAACTAAAGTAATAACACATTTGAATAGTCATGTTGCGTTCTGTAACCACAATGCTCTTGGTTTGTTGATATCTCATTTAGTTTTCGTGATATTGTTATTTCAGTGCAACGTCTGCAATGTATTTAAGTGTTAGTGACGATTTTTGAAATGTGCGATTTTCTGGAACAACGATGCACCGTAAAATTTTGCCTGAAACTGTTTCAATTTTTGAAACAAGCTTACTCAGATAACGCTCTGAGTCTTACACAATGTTACGAATAAGATTTAAAAGTGGTCGTCAGTCAATTGAAGATGATCCTCGACAAGGAGGGCCTTCGACTTCAACCGATGACACCCACGTTCAGAAAGTCAAAGATCTCGTGCGTGCAAATCGTCGATTGACTGTCAGAGAAATTGCAGAAGAGGTTAGCATCTCAATTGGGTCATGCCATGAAATTTTGACTGAAAAATTGAACATGAATCGAGAAAATCAGATTACTGTCCTCCCTCACCCTCCTCACTCGCCAGACCTGGCTCCTTGCGATTTCAGTGCTGAAAGGACGCCGATATCAGACTATGGATGTCATCAGATCAAATTCGTCAGTGACTTTAAAGACCACTTCAAATGAAGCTATCCTGGAATGCTTCACGAAATGAAAACACCGCTAGGAAAAGTGTGTGATTAGGGGATGGAAGTGCTCTAAAGGAGACAAGGACCAATAATGCATAAAATTAATAATAAAGTTTAAAAAAATGAAGTTCAATTATATTCTGACAGACCTCGTACGTCCAATCAGTATTGAGATTAAAAAATGGAGAAATTGTTGGAAACAATCCTGAATACAGCATTTTGGAAATATATAGATAGTTCTAGTTGCTGGAGAGTTTTACTTTATTTTAAAGATATTAATTCAAATAATTTTTTTTTAATCTTATCAAATGAAGTGAAACACTGTTCTTCGATACTAAAAATCTAGGTACACAAAAGATATCTAGCCCCACAGATAAGACTCCCCGACTGCTGATTATTGTGGGAAACAATGTCTATATGAGCTACATGCCCCAAGTAGCATTGAATTACACTAACAATATCCAGTAATTAATAACACAGGCCGACAAAATAAAAAAATGTGTGTTTTTGAGACTCGACCGTACCTATTTGTAGTAAAATTTTCCGCTGAATCCGAAAATGATAACCCCCCCGCCCCACACACACCCTCATTTCCCCTCAAAAATTAAAAAAATCCAAACTAGCCATCCAACCCACCTATCTCTAGTAAAAGTTTCCGTTGAATCCGAAAATGATAAAAAGGAAAATTACTGACCTATGGATTCTCCCACACACACCCTCAATTCCCCTCAAAAATTAAAAAATCCAAACTGGCCATCTAACCTACCTATCTTTAGTAAAATTCGAATGTTGTTTTATCATTTTCGGATTCAGCAGATAATTTTACTACAGATAGGTAACATCACATCTCAAAAACACACGATTTTTTTATTTTGTAAAAATAAAAAATTATATATTTAAATATTATGTACCTATTCAAAAACACATACCTGACACATTGAACCTATTAAATAATGTAATATTTTATAGAAATGTATTGTATTCTTGTTGTTGTGACGTCATCCTTTACAAAATCAACACGTAAATATAGCCAAGATAGAAAGATCTTACTATTTCTACATTTTCAAGTCGTCTTCTTGTAAAATAATATTAATAGAACAAAATTATATACATAAAGCAAAACCTTTTAGAAATCATAAAATTTTGGAAGTGCCAAAAGTGTCGACAACATGATGATTAGATTAATATAAATTAATCTTTTACCAAAAAATAAAAAGGGCAAATAATCTGGTACTACTACTTACTCCTATTTTTAAATTCTAATTCGGATTAATGACTCATTGATAAATTACCAAACTCTACTAACAAAAAATTATTCATATCTACCATAGGCAGATATAAACCTCATATTTCTTATAAATCAACTTACGAATACTTTATTTACAGTTAATTCTGAATAATATAAAGCATATTAAGAAGAGCCACATATATGATTTTCTGCACGAATGGCTTGGGACTGGATTGTTAACAAGTAGTGGTAAGTAATAAATGATTATACCTATCTTCTGTTAAAAACATATCTGGAAAAACTATATAGTCAACTAATTGCCATTTTTAGTATTCTATATTATTTTCCTCAATCATTTAATAATTTAACTGTTTTATACATACATTTCAGGCAGCAAATGGCAGAACAGAAGAAAAATTCTAACGCCAGCATTCCATTTCAACATACTACAGGAATTTGTTGGCATTTTTAACAGAGAAACTGAAAACTTGGTAAAGGTTTTGGAGAGAGACTGTGATAAACCGTACATAAATGTACTGATACCAATAACAGAATTCACACTTTGCTCGATAGGAGGTAATTTGTCTTTTATTCAATTAATAGCAGCTGCAAAAATTGGAGAAGGAAACCAAACCTCTTAAAAATTAGGTGGGGTTATCAAATATAATTTTCAGAGACATCACTAGGCGTAGATCTAGGCAAAGGCCACACTTCTTACAAGGAGGCAGTTCATAATTTTGGCGTCATATTAACGAAAAGGATAATAAGGCCGTGGTACCACAACGACTTTGTTTATAGTTTAGCTCCATTAGCACAGGAACAGCGAAAAGCAGTAACAGTCTTACATGAGCTATCAACTAGAGTCATAAGCGATCGCAAGAAATTATTTTCGGCCGATGGTCAGATATCGTATTCCGATAGGAAACGTCTGGCTATGCTGGACCTGATGTTGAAGGCGAAGTATGACGGAGCCGACATAGATGATGAAGGTATTAGAGAAGAGGTCGATACATTCATGTTTGAGGTAATGCAACAATGGACACTACTCATTTAACCATTATTATAAATAACGAGCGTTCAAATAAAAACGTGGTCAAGTTGGTTCTGAAAATTTGGACGTAGGGCGTAGCGTATAGCAAATGAACTTAAACGTCATCTGTCAACGCGCTATATCGCCGCTATCAATTTGAATATTTTCGTTTTAAAAAGCGTTTAAAATGGTGTTTTCTCAAGAACAAAAAGTGTTTATCATAGAGTCCTACTTTAGAAATGGACGCAAGATTGATGGAATATGGAAGTATTCTATTGAGGAATGTTTCATAGAATTTCAAAATCAATTTCCCGGCGTTGTTGAGTACAAAATTTTTCAAAGTGCAGTTCAGCGTTGTGTTAATGTTTTTCGTGAAACGGGCAGTGTAACAAGAAAAGAAGGAAGCGGCCGACCTAAAAAGCGGACTGAAGAATTAAAAGAAAATGTCCAACAAATAATGGAAAATGCGCCAAGAACTTCTGTACGTGTTTTATCACAAATGGTGGGAGTATCAGTCGGTACCTGCCACACAGTGTTAAAAAAAGATTTGCGTTTGTTCTCCTATCGTTTAACTTGTCAGCAAGAACTTCATGAAGTTGATTTTCCGCGACGGGCTGTATTTTGTGAATGGTTTTTAAACAACTACGGTGAACTTCATAATATCACCTTTTTTTCTGATGAAGCCTGGTTTCATTTAAGTGGTTACGTAAACTCACAGAATATGAGAATGTGGTCTTCTGAAAAACCAGATAACTTTTTTGTCGAGGGCCCTCTACACGCTCAAAAAATTGGAGTTTGGTGTGCTCTCAATCGAAGGAGGATTTATGGACCTATTTTTTTTAATGGTACTCTTACTGCGCAAAGGTATAGAGAAGAAATTATCGCTCCTTTTGTTAACCAGCTGGAAGAAAACGAAATTACAAACTTTTACTTTCAACAAGATGGCGCAAGGGCACATACGGCAGGCGAGACGATGAATATGTTGAGGGAAGTTTTCCAAAATCGACTAATAAGTCTCAATGCTGAACATGAATTTCCACCGAGGTCATGTGATATTACGCCGTGTGATTTCTTTTTGTGGCCTTACCTTAAAAACACTATTTTTGAACTGCCTATTCCTGATTTAAACCATCTGCAGGCTCGACTTATAGACAAGATTCGTGAAATTAACAATACCCTGAGCATCTTAGAAAATGTTTTTAATTCTTTGAGGAACAGGTGCGAAAAGTGCTTGGAACAAGGAACGGGACACTTTCCGCAGCTTCTTTAATTGTTTGTTATTGTTATCACGATTATTCTTTAAAATAAATTTATATAGTCATTAACGTTATTGAAACTGACAGCTGCTATACAGCTCGTTGAGAAATGAGGTTAAGTTGGTCGCTATAAGCTACTCCCTACGTCCAATATGTCAGAGCCAACTTCGACCACGTTTTTATTTGAACGCTCGTTAGTAAATACGTTTTACACAGCTCTATTGGTTAATTTTGAGTTGAATAGAGATACTTTATGAGAGATTCTTCAGTAACATCAACTTCAATCTACAATAGTAAAAATGTACCTTTTTATTGTTTTATTACATGGTACACAATAAAATAAATAAAGACAAACTAAACATGAAACATTTGTTTTGCAGGAATCAGTTAATTGGAATTCATGTAAATTATCACTTCCTAACTAAATACGAAATATAATAACAACAGTGTTCTTTCCTGAAACTACCTTTTTCTTAGATCAACAACGTCTCAATTAGATGGGTTATACAAGAAAATTTAATCTCCTGAAATAACATAGTTTTGTGTTTATTTTTTGTAAATATAAGCCACACACTTTAAAAGAGTTTTACAGAAAAACTGAAAAGCATACTTCGTTAAGTACCTATTGTAGGGAAAATGTATGATAATATTTTATACTGTCATTGGATATGCATAATTAATTATTTTATTGATATTCTAGGGTCACGATACCACTTCGATGGCAATATGCTTTGCCCTGATGGCACTTGCTAATGAAGAAAATATTCAAGTATGTATTTTGATTCCTTGCTCCCAAAAATTTCAACGAAAATATATTTTAAATTCGTTAATAAACCGCTAATAAATGGAAAAGTAAGATTTATAGAAGATCAAAACTATCTCACAATATTAAATTAGTCAATAAAATTCGAATTATGATGAATGGGATATAATCTATAAACTATATATCTTAAATGTCGTTGTTACTCAATGTCTACTGGTACAAAGCATTGCTTTGTAAATACTGACAGAAAGTGGCCTACTGGTCTATAGGTATTATAGGTATTATGAAAGCAAAAAACTGCTCTGCAGATTACATGCATCATCCACCATAAAATTATACGCCTAATATCTAGTATAGAGCTAAGTGCATTCGTCAGCAAAAATTAAAAAAAACAACTCAAAAATAATGTCAGCAGATAAAGAAGAAAGCTGCGGATGTAATCTGGTGGTAGGGGTATTAATCCGCAGAGTAGTTGCTTCCCACACAATATCAATAGATAAAAATCGGAACATGATGTATGCTGCAATAGCCCATTTAACCCAACATCCATTTTAACCCGTTTTTCCATTAGGAAGAAATATTGGAAGAAATCGAAGAAGTTCTCGGCCATTCCGGGAAATTGCCTACATATAACGACCTTGCTGAATTGAAATTTATGGAAAGATGTATTAAAGAATGTTTAAGATTGTACCCGAGTGTGCCTCTCATAGCGAGAGTCGCTGGCGAAGATATTAAAACACACACCGGTTATATAATACCCAAAGGGTGTGACATTAACATTTACATCTACGACTTGCACCGATCTACTCAGTACTGGGAAAACCCGGAAAAGTTCGATCCCGACAGATTCTTACCCGAAAATGTTGCGACGAGACATCCCTTTGCTTATTTACCTTTCAGCGCTGGATTTAGGAATTGTATAGGTTGGTAACTAATTAATAAACAAATACATAACATTCATAAATGATTACAACCCTTGTAACCGCCGAGTTTAGGAAACCAACATTGCACGATTGGTACTACCATGAAGTGTCCGTATCCTAACATCGCATCCTAACGTAGCCGTAAACTATCTAATCTTTATCTTAACATTAACATTTTTAACTCATTTATAAAAATTTTATCCTAACCTTCATCTTAAGACTAAAGTTAAATTAGTACTAAGGTAGGTCTAATACTTTAGGTTTAAGTCATCGCATGTGGTTCTTCAAATTTTTTTAAGTGAAAATGTCTATAACTTAATAAGTACTGTGTGTAAGGAAAATGACAGTTTGACATTTTCCGAAGACAAAGAACAGTATGAATTGTTTAGGCTTGCTAATATTAATACAAGCTTTTAAAAAATATTGGTTTTGATTAAATTGATCAATTTCAACGGTTGTGGGATTGAGATCAATAATAAGTTAAAAACACACAATCTTTAATTAATTGCCAACGTTTCGGTGTTGTTTTACACAATCTTCAGGGCCCATTGCTGATCTTTATCGCACAAAAACTGTTGACATTTACATTAATACATTTGGTAGAAACATTCTATATTTTCTAAATTGCCGAATCTAGGTTTCATTTTATTATCTTTTATTTTTTTAATTGTAAAATTTGATAGAATCTTACTTTGAAATTTTCCAAACATTCTCTTTCATTACACATACATGTATTTATACAAAAAAAATTTCTAAGCTATACCTAAGTACTTCTTTTTTTTCTTCAACCTCAAAAATAAAATTGCACATGGTTGTTCTCATATCATTCTACCGTCCCTCGATATATTTTTTTAAATTTTATACTTTGAAAAAAATAGTATGGGCTAAGGTTGTACAAAAAAAAGGTATACTTCGGTAGCATGTACCATTTTCGATAAAAATGAAGTTACATTTTTTTTGCTCACATAAAGCGGCACAAGTACATTAACAAAATATTAAATTAAAAGAAGACCTTACCATTGATTGAGCTGAAGACATTTAGCTACCAACAGTATTTGCATTTAATACTACAATTTTAATTTCTTACGTATCACGTGAAACATATAATTGTAAAACATTTTATTAACTAAAAAAAAATTAAAATTTATTTTAAATTTCAGTTTATTGTAAACTAACATTTAAAAAAGTAAATAAAAATACACAGATTATGGTAATGAATTACCTATTACTAACTAATTTTAGATTTTGTAAACTACTACACTACCATTAATAAAATAAACAATTGTTGAATGGACTGAATTGTTGATGGATATGAATGCTTAAAAAAGTGATAAAAACAGAAAAATATTAGGAAACAGACTCGGAAACATACAGAACAAAGTAGCTGCACAATTAAATAAATGTGCAAACTCGAAATAATACAGTAGATACATGCTACCGAATTTAGACACGTATATCTTTTTTTGTAGTATGCTTTAGAGTTTACAGAACCGTTTAGAAATTTAACAAATTTTGACTATTAACATTTTTTTTTCGATTGTACCCCTCCAATTACCTGTATCGGCGACACTGCTTTTCAGAAAGAAACCGTTTGCACATTATTCTTAACGCACAGTTGATGTTTACTCGTGTACAAATTTTGACATTTTTATCTTTAGCCGATTTAAAAATAATTAAGGAAAACCATTTGGAAAGTAACAACTTCAACACACTGTATCTCGAAAGAAAAGAAAAAACTTTACATGAACTACCCCTATTATTTTCCCATGACGAACTTGCACACAAGTTTTTTTGAAACATGAACGGGACACCCTCTATATTAGCAAACTTTTTCTTCTTCTTCTTCTTCCTTAAACGCATCAAGATTTGATGATGTTTTTGCTGTCCAATTCTTTTGAAACATTGAATCTGAAAATTCTACAATTTTTGTCTATTTCTTAAAGTTTAGAGGAATAAGCGAAATCCATTAGAACCACTGAAATCGGCACACCCTGTACATAATACTAGTAATAAATTATATTTTCAGGTCAAAGATTTGCTATTTTGGAGATAAAAGCTGCGCTTTGTGGTATATTAAGAAAGTTTAAATTGGAAGCTGTAGACACACCACAACAGATAAAGTACAAATCCGACTTAGTCTTAAGGCCTGTTGGAGAAGTTAGAGTAAAATTTGTTTTAAGAAAATAAATGTTTTTCCATATTTATCGGTTCTTTTTTATTTGATTTATTTTATTTTGCTTTGCATACCATCATTTTTTTTTAGGGATCTTGCCACTTGTGAAAAAATTTAAAAAAATTAATAATAATGCATCAAAATAATCAGTCAATGGTTATTTTTTATGAAAATAGTTTTGCCTAACAAAAATTTGACACTGAAAAAAGAGCAGACAAATACAAAAAAAAAACATCACTTTATATTACGCACTATGAAAAGTTGTTAAATATTTAGATAATTTCTGTATAAAAAAATAGCACTTTTACAGAATTTGTTTTAGAATTTGAGATCAGCAAGTTTTTCAATAACACTCAAGAACGTGCTATTGCAATCAGGGCACAAAACGAAGAACTTATTTTGAATACAACTGAAGATGATATTAGTACTAGAATTTTATCTCGACAAAATGGTATATCGCAAACTTCTGTGCACCAAATGATCAGACGTAATTTACTACACCCATATCCAAAAATTGCAAGAATTGTTACCTAATGTTTTCGTTAAACGAGTGAATTTCTGTCAGTCTATTTTACATCAAGGCATGAATTTTTAAAAGAAAGTTCTCTTGATCTTATAGATCTTCTGGTTTATACCATGTAAATAAATTTCACTCAATTTTACTCAATAATGTGTCAATTTCTGTCCACACCCGATTGAGTGAAATTTTTATTCTATTAGTATGAGTACAACTGAGTGAAACTATTGCATCAGAAAATGAGTGAGTTTTACTCAAATTCGAGTTACTACTAACTATTAATTGAGCGATTTTTGACTCTATTCTAAGTATATAAAACAAATCTAGAGTTGGCTTTTTCTCTAATAAGATTTAAATTGGGTCATTTTTTACTCAGACTTGGTTTTTAATTAACTAAATATTGAGTGCATAAATAAATCACTTATAAAAGATTAATTAGGACACACAGTGCTGAAATTAATTAGGTCCTTCACCTAATACATCTCTTTCTCTTACACTTTTATCGGAATGAATAATTAATGTAACGACAATTTACAAGATTACTTTTAACCTTTTAATCTTATTGTGCAGCTGCACTATCTGGATAATTGTTTACTCATCTAGAAATGCAATAAACCCAACCCGATAAGATTCCAGTTACCGGACAATAATAAAAAGAAAACGCAAAATAGAATTAAAAAAATAACTAACATTTATTAATAACCCTTAAAAAAACTGTTAGTTATTCGATACAGGTTCGTTTCAATTTTTAAAACCTTTTAATTGAAGTTATTGGGAGTATAACATTGCTAAAGTTATCAGCAAACCGGTCCTGCAGTAGCAATAACATTATCTATAAATAAAACAGCACTGACTACAGAGCATAGTACATAGACTGACTCAATTCACTCGAGTAGATCGGATTTCTTTGGGAGTTATTAGAAAAGTTACAATGTGGGAATATATTGTTTTGATAGTAGCCATACCTTATTTACTGTATATATTTAGTTGGTTAAAGAATTATCAGTACTGGAAACATATCATGGCAATACCTGGACCAAAATCGTATCCTATGGTGGGTTCAATGATGGAACTCATATTTGATGAAGGTAAACATTTTATTTAATTTATAAGTGATACCAGGAACTATGTAAAATAGCCGGCTTTTAAAAAAAGAAGTATAATACTACAAAACGTATATTCTAATTTTCCGATTAAATAATGCGAAATAGGGGCAGTGGATATATAAGTATACAATTTTGAATATTGTTAGTTATTGTAGAGTTTTTATTGTAAATTCGTTCATAAACAACTTACAAAATTAATAAAATTTCCTTAACGGTATACAAGGATACATATAATAGGATCATATTCGATGCAAAGTAATAAATCATTGCCTGTCAAGGGATCCAGTGCCATACGCTTTTAAGGGTTTTAGAAATTGAATAATTTCTTTATACATTATAAAGGGACGAAGGGATCAGTTCACGTCTGGCACCCTTGTTCCTACAAAAATTCCTTTATTCTCGTAAACTATGTACGAGCCCAGGCTCATAATAGTTCGGCCGGTAATAATTTGTAACTATATTTTTGAAGATAATATTAAACTTAAAACAAAGGTGCAAAATTTAATCAAAACTATTACAACTATATTCAAAACTATACTTTTAAGTAGCTGAAACTGAAAATTATAATTAAATTACGTAAAGAAACAAATCAGTATAACAAAAAATGTATTTCACGTGGTAGGTCATAATAGTTCGGCCGCTTATCGTAATTGCCATGAAATCGAGCTGACTAGTTAAAACAAAGCAATTATGAAATATATCAACAAGACAGCTGTCAGTATTAGTTTCAAATCATATTTAAAGCATAATGCCTCGTGGTAAGCCCTTAAGTAAAGATTTTCGTTTGTCCATCATTAATGCCCATAAGAAAGGTATTTCGGCACGTCGAATTTCAGTTTCTCATTCTGTGCCGCGTTCTACCGTTCAAGACATTATCAATTTATATAAAACTACTAATGGAGTTGATCAAAAAATTAAAACCGGCCGACCATCTACAATTACAGAAGCAAATAAAAGAGCTTTACGGAGAATTGTGAAAACAAATCGGAGATCTAACACTAAAGAGATAACTGTTTTATGGAGAGAAAGTATAGCCAAGGATATTTCGTTGTCTACAACTAAAAGGACTATTAGAAAAATAGGATACAAATTTTATAAGGTAAAATTTATTCGTTTTTTTTTTGGTGAAACTGTTGGCATCCAATTTTTTTTTAACAGGCAAAAGAAAAGCCACTACTGACAACTTTACAAAAACGCAACAGACTAAAGTGGGCTCGGGAACATCAGAACTGGACTCAAAGACAGTGGTACAATATAATTTGGAGTGATGAGTCCAAGTTTGATGTTTGTGTGGGCGACTCCCGTAAAAGGGTGTTACGAACATCCAGCGAAGCATTCCATAATGACTGTCTAGTAAAAAAAGTAAAGTTCCCAGCATCAGTCATGATATGGGGTTGTATGTCTGCAAAAGGAGTGGGCAAATTACACTTCATCGATGGAATTGTTAACGCCCAAAAATATAAGGAGATATTGGAAGCAAGTTTTTTACCATCTATCGCGCAATGTGCAGCCGATGACGGTGACTTCATGTTCCAACAGGATGGTGCACCTTGCCATACTGCGAAAACTGTGAAGACGTGGTTTCAAGAACATAACATTCCTGTTCTAAAATGGACGTCTTCTAGTCCAGATTTGTCTCCAATCGAGACACTTTGGCACAACATGAAGAAGCAACTTCGAAAAAATCCAGCGCGGACAGTACCCGAATTAAAAGCTACTTTGCAAAATGTATGGAATAATATTCCACCAGAAGAGTGTGCACGACTTGTGGATACAATGCCCAGTAGAATTAAGGCGGTTATTGCTAATAAAGGCGACGTAACGCAATATTAGGTTTTGGCCGAACTATTATGACCCACCACGTGAAATACATTTTTGGTTATACTGATTTGTTTCTTTACGTAATTTAATTATAATTTTCAGTTTCAGCTACTTAAAAGTATAGTTTAGAATATAGTTGTAATAGTTTTGATTAAATTTTGCACCTTTGTTTTAAGTTTAATATTATCTTCAAAAATATAGTTTCAAATTATTACCGGCCGAACTATTATGAGCCTGGGCTCGTATTTTAAATGTAATTTATTATAAATCCAATTTGTTTTTTAAATTCCACATATGTACAGTCGGCGCCACTCAAATGTGAACGGAAATATTGTACCGTGTAATTTAAACTTCAAATCATAGTCGTCGTAAAATTCAATAGTTGTCAAATATATATGTCACTTAGAGTAAACATAATGAAATGTAAACAAGTAACGTGAAATATGCCGGAGCATTTAACTGAGGCGCAAAGAGCAAGGACTATAACTAAATTAGAAGATAATTGGTCTTTGAGTGATGTGGCTGCTGATTTAAAAGACAGTAAGAGTTGTATATTTTATATTAAACAAGAACATCTGTTAAGAAGAACAAAAATTACAAAGACCTATCAGACAAGGTGTCGGGAAGGTTTCCAGTGACGCGGAAGACAATATCTTTGTCCATCAGAATACCCTCTCTGTGGTACGCCACTACAAAAAGTCTGATTTACTACGATAAAATCCAGATGAAATTTCCATAACAACCAAAATCCGTTTACATTTGGGTGGCGCCAACTGTACTACATTTTACCTCTGTACGCGCCGCAGTTGTTTACTTGTTTTTTGGGGGCGCTCTTTGATATACGACCAAGCTGGCCAGGTTAGTATTTGACGTATAACCGACCACTTCGTACACTCGATGCACCTGGGCGACTACAGCTACTACCAGAACACAGTGCGTATGCAGCGGTATTTTTGATTTTACATTCAATTTCATTATAAATTTGAAATGGTTCATCTTACGCCTCCTAAAAATGAATACGATTCTACTATAAATATGTATTCTTTGAAACAGAAAAGTACATTTTGTAAGAATAATTTCAAATTCATGTTTGATGTCAAGATTTCGCATACCTAAATTAGTGCTGGCAAAAACTGGAAAAAAGTGAAACCGGTTAACCGGGTTCCGTAAAAACCGATTTCAGCGATTTCAGATAAAACCGGTTAATTGTCTAAAAAAAAATCTGGAAGTCAAATTTGTTTACGAAGAAATCGATCTCTAAAAAATAAAAAAGGTCAATTACAATCTTACAATCGGGCAAATCGATGTCAAAAAATAGGAAGTAGATCATCGAATAATCGGTTAATTGAATAATCGGATATTTGAAGATTCGAATAACCGAATAACCGGTTTTCGGATATTTGAAGAATCGAATAACCAAATAACGGTTTTCGGATTTCATAAAAATCCGAATTATCCGAAACCGGTTAACCGACTATCCAAAAAACCGGTTTCAGTTGCCAGCACTAACCTAAATGTCAAAAAATGTAGAAACAAAACAAGGAATGTCCACAGGTTTCACATCACTGTGATTCCGTGAATTCTT